CAGCTCTTCTTACCATGCATTGGTATTACATGCTCTCTGACAACACCAGTTCACCTTTATCCCTTTATCTTAGTGAAATTTTGTTATCACTGTTCTGAATTTCCTGGAGACATTTTGAGAAAATATCTATTTATCTATGTAAATATTTATAAACTGAGTCTCCAGTGTTTTAGAGTAAAACTTCTTCTCCTAAAACAGGTGAACAGATTCAGTTTTGGACTTCACACTGCCCTGGACACGAAAAAATTATCTCTAAGTCTCCTCCACCTTGAAAAGGAAAAATTACAATCTAGTCTCGGGTAATTACTTCTGGAACTTCTGACTAGGATTTCTAAATGTTTGCAATATTTGAACATTCAACAGTGCATCTTCCTTCAGGCTCTTTCTCCTAAATTCCATTGTGGTTCAATGTCTAATCAGGAATATAGTTCTCCAGAATTTTACAGCTGACTATCCTCTGAGTAAAATCTTTTTAAAAAAAAAATAAATATGCATTTTTCCCTTTTGGGAAGCAGTGTTCTGCAGTTTTCTTTAATATTCTTTCCTATCTATTCTAGAACACTCAAGTTTTGTTTGTTTGAGTTTTGTGGGGTTTTTTTTTGGTTTGGTTTCTTTTTTTTTTTTTTTTCACTGGAGTCCGGTGGATCAGAGCAAGCACCTCCAGGGAAATAAGCTGGGAAGAAACATCCTCCAGAGGTTCCCAGAAATCCAGACAGATTTGACAACTAAAATTTACATATCCAAAATTAACGGAGAGGATCCTAACCCTCAGCAGTTAAGGTAATTTGAAGAGACTGTAAGTGTCACCACATTGGGGTGGTGAATGATGTGCTAGAGGGTAGGGTTTCCTTTTAAAGGGACCTGAAAATCCTAGGAATGAGCTGTAAATGCAACGCCTCAACAAAGGCAAACGTGAAGTCCAGCACCTGTAACAGTCAACTCCATGCACCAGTAAAGGTAGGGGACTGATGGACTAAACAGCAGCTGTGCGTCAGGGTCCCAGTGGACAAGTTGGACGTGAGTCCTCAAGGGTGCTCTTGTGGAAGCGAGAGCCGACCAGCACTGGGCTGCGTTGGCAAAACTGCAGCCAGCAAGTTGACAGAAGTGATTATTCCACTCTACTCGGCAGTTGTGAGGTGACATCTGGGGTATTGTGACCAGTACTGAGCTTCCCAGTTCAAAAGGGATGTCAGCTATCTGCAGTGAGTCCAGCAGAGGAACATGGAGTTGGTCAGGGATCTGCAGAGAGGATGAAGGACCTAGGCTTCTTTAGCCTGGAGAAGAGGAGGCTAAACGAGGACCTTATTTCATTCCTCCACTACCTAAATGATCTTCATACATGGAGAGAGACTCTGTTCAGAGGGGCACAGCGAAAGGACGCAATGCAACAGTCACAAGTTTCATGAGGGAAACTTCTGGTTAGGTATGAGGAAAGAAATTCTTTCCCTTCAGCACTGTGTCTGGAGAGGCTCCATCCCTGGAGATTTCCAAAATCCAAATGGATAAGGCCCTGTGGAGACTTTAGAGCTAGCACTCTTCAGCAAAAGATTGGAAAAGATGAAAAACAGAGGTGCCTCACAACCTAATTTGGTCATAAGTCTATCTCCTCTACATTTTCTTTGTGCCTATGATAATGTCATTTTAAGAGTTTTCTGAGCTTGCCAACCTGTTTCTTTCTGGGAAGCTCTGACTCTAGATCATACTCACTATTTTATCCTTGGTTTTCTGGCTGCTATTTCTCAATAGCTTTTCCTCCCTCCTCCTTGTCAACTGGTCATTCTCAACGGATAGCCCTGGATCTATGCTACCTGCAAATAGCAGCAATAATGTTTATTTCACACTTAAGCCACATGGTGAATTTACAAGGAGTAGCAACAGTGCTCAAGTCATCATTTATTGTCTCAGGTATTCCATGGGCACAATCCGTTACTTTAGCTAACACTCAGATTATTTATAGAAAAACTGTGACTATTAACAAATAAAAATACATACTGCTGTCAGAGCTTATATTCACTGTTAAGACTGATAAACAGGGCACCTTTCTACTCCCTATAGCTGAGAAAATTCCTTCCACTTCCAAGGCCTGAATTATCTAATAAAATCATAGTGTCTTCCTCTCATGTAGTGTCCTGCTGTAATAGATGTCCCACCAAAATGAAAAAAAATACTCCAGAGAAGAGTGGAATTTGTTTTCTGTGTTGAAGTAAATGGAAAAATATTTGGAGGAAAGATAGGCTTAAGAAAAAAATATCATCTATGATTATAAATAGCACACAATACTCCATTATGGTTGTACTTTCTGCTGTTTCTATGAACATTTATCTAAGAATATACAATAAAGTTTAGAAGGATGCTAAAGCTGTCAACTTGAACATGCAAATTTAAGTTATGCCCTGATTTAAATAGAAAAGCTAATTTCCATCTATACTTGCTATCTATTACAACACAATTGGTTAGAGACTTAAATACAGAACACTTGTTGCTGCTGGAATAACACAGAGTAATCAGTGAAGCTAAGGGTTGTAAGTTTAAAACAAGTGCCATCTTCCTCATCCTCCACCTCCAGCACATCACATTTCTTTCCTGCAATAGCAGAACTTTGGGAGTAGGGGCACACATCAGTGAGACCAACACCCAGGTGATGAGAATGGTTCACGTTCCAGCATTTCCAGTGAAACCATGGAGGAAGCTGTCTCTGTTCTAATTACTGTGTCATAGTAAATGTGAAACATACTGAAAGAAAATTAAGGAGTTAAAGTGTCACTGTTAAAGATGGATAATCTCTTCCTGAATGTGAAGATGGGGAGGTTTCATTTCTGGCTGGAACTTCAGGCTATTTCACTTAACTATTAACCTATCTGACCCTGCAAATACAGAAAACACCAGGATATTAAGCTCCTTAAAAAAAGATCTTCTGGAAATAGTTGTTGAGTTCAGTGTTCATGAATCACAGCACAAATGTAACACAACGGATGCACAGAAATCATTTCCATGCACTGTTATAAAATAAATGAAAAATAAATCTAATTTTACAGAAGTTCACTGAAATAAAAGCTAAAGAACTGAAAAGGTGAGGCCAGGAGATTGGCAATATTCACATGACCCTCTGCCTGTGTCAGAGAAAGACCAAACCACTCTGAGAACTGATCTGCTGTTGTACTGCATAGAGAAATCACTGTGCAGGAGTGGCTTATCCATTCTCACTCTCCATCACTAGCTCTCTGCAGTGCCTTGCTCCAGTGCTGAGCAGTAATTCTAGAACATCTTCAGTGTCCAACTCTCCTTAACACAGCACTTGCCTAGACCTAGAGTCATGGAACAGTTTCGGTTAGAAAAGACCTTCAAGATCATCAAGTCCAACGTTTGCCCTCTACATAGAATCATAGAATCATAGAATGGCCTAGGCTGGAAGGGACCTTAGAGATCATCTAATCCAACCTCCCTGTCATGGGCAGGGACGCCTCTCAGCTGGATCAGGCTACTCAAGGCTCCATCCAAGTTGGCCTTGAACACCTCCAGGGAGGGGGCAGCCACAACATCTCTGGGCAATTTATTCCAAAGTCTTACCGCCCTCGTACTGAAGAACTTCTTCCTAAGGTCCAATCTGAATCTATTATCCTTCAACTTAAACCCATTTCCCCTTGTCCTATCAGTGGACACTCTTGTAAAAAGTCCCTCCCCAGTCTTCCTGTAGGTTCCTTTCAGGTATTGGAAGGCAGCTATTAGGTCCCCCCGAAGTCTTCTCTTTTCCAGGGTGAACAAGATGAGTCACGTCACAGTGACAGGGTGAGTCGGAAGGAAATTGCAAGAGAGGAATTACTGTGGTTGCTTTTGTGCATAAAGTTTATAGTTTCCTGTTTGAAAATGACTGGGCTATTCTTCCTGCCAAATGATAGATTTTTTTCAGAGCAGAATTATCCCTGGCTGTTTTTATTTCTCACATTGTATCTTATCTGTATACAAAGAGAAAGCCTGATGGAAAACTTGGAAGTAAAGACTGCTTACAGTCAGTTATATTACACAAAGAGGCACACAAGGAGTAGCAGTCAGTGTGGAATTCATGGTAATTCCAAAATATCCTCATAAAAACCTCATGCTGTATATGACAAAACATACTTGTCTATTGGGCCTGAAAACTGTATTTTGGCACCTTAGTGTGAAAAGAGATTTTCTGCAGATAACTGGGAATCAAGTGTGTCTATGCTACTAAATTTCATTGCAAGTTTTCTTGACAGTAATCTCTTCAGTCTTAGCAACAACTTGTCACACATGTGATGAATTACCTTAGGGGAAATGTTTCTCCAACCTGATTGTACTTCTGGAGAGACAACAGGGGGTAAACTAATTTTCTTGTATTTTTCTGAGAGGTCTGAATTCAGTAAGCAGCCTGTTAATTATATAGGGGTTTTATTTTTTTTTGTCATCTTTTAGAACAGATCCTGCTGCAAGAACAAAAGTATCAACTAACAAAAATGGGCTTCATCATCATGCTCTCTGTACTTGTGGGATTTTCTGATTCTATGAATTTTTCATAGCTTTGTGCGTCTAACAGTACTCCAGCCTACCACTGTGTTAAAGCAGTCAGACCAACAAGACATCAGAAGCATGTCCTGACTGGAAGTGTTTAATCCTCATCACGTGTGTTATGTTACAGCTGTACAGTTATGAGCTGGCAAGTGGTATTAGGACTGGCTCAGTGGATGCTGAGAGAGGAGTAGCATCTTTATATGCTTGTCTTATCACTCTGCTTTTTCTCCTGGACATCACTTTTGGCCATTTTGTCCGTCACTTATGTTGGTTAAAACTGAGTTAATCATTTGGCAGTTTTGGATCTGGCACAACAGACTTGGGTCTCTTGGGAAGCCCGTCACCACGCCCGTTTCCTTTACATATGTCTAAAAGAGAATGAGATCAGGGAAATGCATTAAGTCTGATCCAACATATCAGGGTTCTCATGTGGTAGTTCTCAAAAACGGCCTACCTTGCAGAACGACTTCTAATCATTTTAGCCTGACAAACCAGTCCTCCTGCCAATGGTTGTTACCTCGCTGTAATTGGATGGCAGGCTTTTCACAGATAAAGTAATGCTTGTCTGTACATGATGAGCTATATAGACCAGAAGGATGAAAATATCCACAATAACCATCATACCTAGACAGCCTAGGGAAGAAAAATCTTTAGTTATATCTCCCCTCATTCAAATGGTGCATCCTTGCCCTTTCCAGAAAGAGTCATCTTTGCAAGAATTTCTTATGTGGCTTTCACAAAGAACAGACACCCCCAACAAGGAAATAAAACATTTAGTAACATCATGCATCGGCTCCTAGGAGGCTGACAATGTCCTAAACATGCCAACAAGCACCCTCCCAGGAATCCCACTAGGGTGGATCCCAAATAATTTCTTGTATCTCCAAGTAAGAAACACTAACTCCTAGGTATTGCCTGAAGGATTTCAGTAGCTGTTTCCATAGAAACATTGAGAGGAGACTGCACAAATATGGATGGAAAATTGGGTTTGAAAGCAACAAGAAAAATATATTGTATTTCTAAAATAATATATTAAACTGAGTGAAACGATTCTAGAGAATAAATAGAGTCTCATACAACCCCCAAAAAAATTTAATGCATGAAGTGAAACACCTTTCCATTGGAGTTTTATCCATGTGTCGTCACTGAAACCAGGTGTCAAGTGCAAGACGAACATATGTAAGTGCTCCACATATTTATCTTCAATCTGAAACTAAACTGTGGAATTAAAATTTCCAGGCACTTATTTTTCCTAGTGATAGAATCATAGAATCATAGAATGGCATAGGCTGGAAGGGACCTTAGAGATCATCGAGTCCAACCTCCCTGTTTGGGGCAGGGACGCCAGCTCTCGACTAGACCTGGCAACACATGGGGACGGAGCAGGAATCGAACCCATGACCTCGGTGTTTGTCCTTGCTGCCAGCACCACGCTCAGACCACTGAGATAACCAGCCCCCTTAGTGCTTAGATCACCCTGCAAGCGGTTCTGTTTGAGTCCAAGAAAGATCTGAAATGGAGAGTTGAGACCTAGAATGCAGAGAAAGCTGCACAGGAGTTGGCTGTTCGGCGTGCCCTCTGAGACAGAGAAACTGGGATTTGTGTGTGGGTGAGGACCAACTTTAGGTACTGCAGGAAAGCCGCACACTTACCAAGACTTTTTTTCTCCTGTATAAACTGTGTTGTCCACCCAATACCAGTCTCCCTGTGGAGCTCTAAATTTCAGTCCAAGCCAGTACTCTCGTCCACCCTTTTTTATTAATTCCTGTGTAAAGTAAAAAGAACACAAACCCCAAAGTTTTAGGCTCAAATGGTGAAAATATGGATGGAAATTGCTTGAGGAACATAAGTACCAAAACTTGCTAACCGGTCCAGGCAAGTTCTGCATTTAAAGGAGAATCTTAGTACCAAAGGAATAATGACAGTAGTGTTGATTCTAATAGGAGAGGACATACACTTCTAGCTCTGAAGAGCAATAGCAGTCCCATCACTCTTGGGGACGAAACCTCTTGGCCGAAACACTGGATTGTTGTTCCCCCTTTACTCTGTTGGCATTTGCCAACAGTGAAGAGGAGGCCTCTGCAGGGAGCTGTTGGGTTTGGTCTGTTGAACCAGCATGCTTGGTTCTAGCATCATTCACTTATTGCCAAAGCTGGAGCATGCTAATTAGAGGAGGTCTTAAGATTAAGCATTTAGTGATGTTCTGTTCTTAGAAAATCCTCTGAGCTGGACAGGTAAGAATAAAAACTTGAATAATGCTGCCTTTCTCACTACTGCTTGAGGGAAATCTCTAAGGATTTGAATTCAGTGTTTCTGTTGTTGTCTTCCTTCCGTCACATCGTTGTCAATCCCAGTGCACTTCTCCATTTTCTCTTTTTTCCTCCCATCTCTCAGTGTCATGATCAAGAACAGGCGGCACCTCACTGTCTCTTCTTTTACTAATTTGGAAGGGTGAGAATAAAGCTGCTCCCCTCTACTTCTGGGAGAAACCTTATGGCCTGCAGCTCAATCAGAGGAGAACTGGCACTGGTCGAGTGCTGGAGAGCAGGCAGGCCCAGTGTTGACTGCCAGCTATCGGGGCACTTCCGTCTTCAGTCTTTCAGTGCATCTGTTGGCATTCAGAGGCACAAGACTCATTTCACTCTACACCTGGCAGTTTCTCTTTACACCTCAGATTGTTTTCATTTCCTAAAAGATTAGGCCAGATTTCAGCAGCTCGCTGCCACGCGTTTTGAATTTGATTGAAAAATTCAGACCAAATTTTTGTGGAAAAAACTTCCACAAAATGGGGAGGACTCTGGTTTGACCTTGGGGATACAAGGTTAAAAGAGGCTTTCACACTCATATCTTCCCAAATCCTTGTATGGATCTGCAATACTTGTTAAATTATTGTAAGCATTGTGCGCAACAAAACAGCCATAGGCGTGCTTTCACCAGTAATCCTCACGGCAAGCTGGGGCAAGCCAGCTGTTTGAAACTACTTTGTGTGGTGACAACCAGTCCTATGCCTTAGCACTGCCCAGGACAACCCAATCGCTGTAGAAAAACAGCTACTCTCAGTGCCATTTATGAAAGGTATGTGTGAGGTGAGTAGCTGGTAGGGTGTGTGAACTTCCTCCATGCTAACCAGAGCAACAAACCAGTTCCTACCAGGTTTTCTGCCCCTTTTGTCAGAAGAGTGGAGTTACGTGAGGCGCAAAACTGGAGACTCTGTTCCCATGGCTTCGTTTCGTCAGACACATGGTAACACATATCGCCACCTTCCCACTTCCAGTTTGCAGGGCAGAGTGCACAGTTCTGGCCTGGAAAAGGAAAACCATCGGAGTGTTTCTGTTCCCTGCCTGTCCCTCACTAAACATCAGTGTCAGTCAGTGATGAAAAGGTCTACAGGAACTGGGGATGTTTGTGATGGTCCTTATTCAGTCTAAATCCCACTGTAGCCACAGGAGGGTCAGGTAACAACAGAGATGAAAACTGAATCATCCCCCTACCTCTCCCATTCCTTTAGCACTGGGAAGAGATTCAGGTCTTGCAAATGGGATTTATTTTGCCTGATTTTAGGAGTCCGCAAAAGGTGAGATGGGTCAACCCACCTGGATTCCCATTTTAGCCAATGGAAAGAAGTAAGCATGTCTCACATGTGCTCCCTCTGTCATTTCAGGTGTCTTTCTTGGGAGGAAATAGACTGTATCCTTGCCCTACTGGTTCCTCTTCATTGACTGAAAGGGAGACCTAGACAGCTTGTCTGCAGAACAATAGCCAGACAAATGGAATTCCCTTTCCTGACAGTGACAATATGATCTCTTTGCCTCACGACCCAGCTCTTCAGAGCTTAATTTCCGAAGAGAGCTATTTTCTGGCTGGCTCATTGACAGATGCCGCTGAAGTAACTGGGCTGTGGCAAACTGACCAGAAAGAGCCCTGAGCTGGACACAGCCAAGAGACTGGGAGTGAACTCCCAGGCTGGTTTAGCTACGCTTCAGCACACATCACTGCTGATTTTGGGAGATCCCTGTCTCACCTGAGGTCACTACTAGCACCGTTCTGTGTGTGGGCTGCTTTTCACACAGAGTGCAGTCAGATGTTGAATTTTCATGTACGGCTGTTAAATTGTCTGTTAGATGCAGCTGAGAGCATCATGGAGAGATCCCTGAAATAGTGCCAGTGAGAACTGTCATGTGCAGACAGCATCCCACAGAGCTCTTTTCAAAGGAAACCATGTACCGAAACCCTGGTTCCACTATCAGGTCCCATGCCTGCACACATGGCAGCCAGGCTGAGCACCTCTCTCCAGGCACTGCATGAAGCAGACGTGCTCATTGCCTGCTTTCTAGGTGGTCACATCGGAGAAGACACAGAAAAGACATCTCATTTCCTCCCCTGCCATGTTGAAAGAAGAGCCTTCATCAAAACTTGTTGATTTACCATTATTTTTCAGGGTTTTTTTGCCTTCCAAGCACAGTTGATTTCCTATTACTTGCAGCATATTTGAGAAATTTGCCTGCAGCTCGTTCTTTGTCATGTTGAGGTCTCTAAGTTGAGTCCTGTAGTCCTTGGGAATCTGGAAAACTGAAATTCACAATAAGACATTTTCCAGTGCTGCGCTTCAGAATGGATATTAAGCAGATAGGGAACATTTTAGCGGGCCATGAGGGATAAATAAACCATTTGGGATAAATGTTATCCCTCCCTGAAGAGTTGCGTGTAAAGGGTGCTGAGATGGAGAACATTTACACAGTGGATTTTTCATGATTTGGCAGTGAGTGAGCAACAAAATTAAAGTGTCACCTTTTATCGTATATTTCCACTCTGTATCTTTCTCTTAGCTTGGTTTTCAGGATGTGCTTTTTTCTTAAAACTGTGAACTTCAGCTCTGGGTCACAGTGGAATTGTTGAGGATGGGACATAATGGGCACACCCTGTTTACTGTGACACAAAGTCTCTCCCTTCCCTTCAGATCCACAGTTATCAAAGAGCAATTCACTCCATCATTAGTCAGAGCACCAGGATTGTGGATACATTTTTCACAGGACCACACAGTGGCAGCCAGAGCAAGAAATGGATGTCCTACTCCACCCCTTTCGAGATCCCCTCCAAGTTGCTCATTTCTAGCCTCATCTCACATCGAGAAGAGGTCAAAGGTGCTGCAGTGAGGGAAAATATCTTGGTTGCCCAGTTACTTGCTCTCAGCTGAACGAGAAGTAGCACCTGGAGGAGACGTCAGTCTGATGTTATTCAATAGCTTGAGACCCATAGCAAACAGAAATTTATCAGTACTTACATAAAACTGCCAGAATCACCAGCACCATCAGCAATGCCAGGCACAGCATGAAGAAAACCAGGACTAGTGGTTGGCAAGAGCGGGTTGAAGTGGGAGACCCTGGGAGGAATTCAGTCATGAAATGGAGATGCAGTGCTAAGCAATGGTGAACACGTTAGCCTCATTAACGTGCAGTCATCTTTGTGCTGCACTGGTCAATAAACAGACGCTTTTCCTTTTGCTGCAGAGTCTCTGCACACAGCAAAAGTTGCCGAAAGAGAAGAAAAGGATGAGAGACCACAACAGCCCAGTGTAGACTGGACAGCCTTGATCGTTTCAAAGGCCATGGACTGTGACAAGAGAGATATGGAGAAAGCGAGGTATTTGCAACATCTGGAGATCTGATTGCTCAAAGCTGGAAACAAATATGCACTGTACGGCTCTGGTAATCTGTGATGTGTGGAATAGATCTGTGGTCACCTGGTTAAATTGAGTGCTACAGTAAAATCCGCTGGTACTTTATGGTAGTCTGAGATTTCCAGCTAGGAACTGAAAGAGAATTTTTCTTTAATAAGGCTTACATCCTCGATACAGAAATTAGCACTCAATGAGGAGAAAAAGGGAATCATATTTTGCTGAGCAATGGAAATTTTAAGTAGGTACTTCATGAAAAGTGTATTTTTAATAGAAGGTGGAAGATTTCATAGGTTAAGATGTGCTGAAGGCAGGAGAAAAAGCATTCTTTTTTACGGGAAGAACTAAATCTAAGGTAGATTAAAGTCGCCACTGCACAGACTTTGTGAAGAACTGCAGCCAGCCTGACTTAATCCAATAAAGGCAATAGGATGGGAATGTGGACAGGAAACTGCCAGTCTAGAAAAAGGAAATGGGTATCTAAAATTGGGGACTGAATTGCTGAAGGAATAAGAACTGATACTTATTGTGTCAAGCTGAAGATTCAGGAATGGAAACTGCAGTGTGCCTCTCCTAGAAATATTCCTGTGGTCAGCTTGTGTGGTGAAGCAATCCTGGGCAGAATGCTGTACAAGACCTCAGACCACAGAAACTCAAGCTGAAAAATATTCAGATGAAAGACTGTGCAGTGGATGGTGTCTTGAATGGAGACATAGATCACTGCTGACTTACATTCAGCCTCCCCTTCACCGTAAATGCCAGATCCTTTCCAGCCTGCTCCCAGTCTGTACCACTGGCTAGAACCAGTCCAGCCTCAGTCCACAACAAGCTGTGGAGCTTCCTGGTGTTTGTGCTCACCCAGTCCTCAGTTTTCTCAAGGTTCATGAGCTCTGCCACTTAGTAGCATCAGCCACTACCCCTAGTTTAGGATAATCAGGAATTTTATGAAGACACACCCTGTCATTTTTCAGGTCATTGAGGAAGATACTAATCAATATAGACTCAGTATCAACCCCTGAGGGATCCCTGAGGAACTCTGCCTCCAGTCAGATGTTGAGCCAGGAGTTACTCCCCTTTGAGCCCCTTAGTCCACCTGGTTAGTTCACCTAACAGTTCACCATCCAGCCCATAACTTTCTTAGCTTTAGAATGACAATACTGTGGGAGAAACAGACAAAAGCCTTGCTAAATACATTTGCAACTCTCCCAGCATCTGCCTTTCATCACAGAATGCAACCCCCATCTAAGGAAGTGCTCTGACTACTTGGTTTGCGTAAGAGAGAAATACCCAGGTCCTTCACCTAGTGAAAGAACATCTGCTTTCTTTTCTCTTTTCCAAAGTCTAATCTCACAGACATAAAACTCAGAAATAATTACTGCATGCGAGAATCACATAGCTCATAGATCTTTACAAGACTTAAGAATGCGTATTGACTACTGAGGCAAAGGGACATTTTTAAGGTCTAAGTACTTCTGCCCATGCTCTGAATCTGAGTATTAGGTACCTTGAGAACTTCAGTAGTAGAAATGTCACACCTTAAGGCAGGCTGCTGAATAGCCTCATAAAAATCAGAGCTAAAGGACAAAAATAAATCGTTCCTACCCCTACAAAGTCATAGCCCCAAGCTGAAGAGTGAAAGCACTGTAGTCCCTGCTTCCTGGAGTTTTTAGATGAGAAGAGATAAGGAATTTTTAGTTAGAAAGGGAGATTTCATAAACAAAGACAAAATATTTTCTGGATAACAATATGAATCAAGACCAAGGAGTATTTTTAGCTCTGACTGTTTTAATTAAGTCTTGCCTCAAGAGTTTCTTTAGGCAATGCCCTCTGGACTGTGCATTGTAACCTAACACTTGCTTTCACAACATCTTGCATAGCTGAAGGGGCCTTGGACTGGGTCCTCCTTCTTGTTCAGTACTCTCAGTTTTTTAGAATGGTTTTATTTAATCAGCGTGGTTGTTTCGGTTTGATGTTGGTGAAATAATGCACAGCCTGTGCTGTGCCCTCTCAGAATGATGCTTTCTGAGCACAAAATCCAGACTTTTCTTTTTTAGTTTCTTTAGCCTCTGAATTATAAAATGGTAACGCAAAAACATAACAATATTAAGAAAGACCACCTAATCTTTGATATAGAACTCCACAGAGAATTTCTTTTGAATCACAGGTGAGTTGCCCTCTTGTTTGCAAACCTCTGCTCCAGAGTCTGACTGCACAGTGAGCTCTTTCTATTTCCTTTGTTCCCATGAGCTGCACAACTTGAAACTAGAGCTTATCCTCGCAGTTTGACATAAATAAAGCAAAAGTAAATTAAAATTAGGTTTTAAAATATAACATTAAAACATATTTAGTCCTTTAACAGATATAGTCTTTTCAAAGACCAGTGCCTTAATTCTGGTATAGAACTTCAGAAGTGAAATACAGTGAGTCAGTTAAAGATGATGGAGTTCTAAACTTGAATGCAAATGCAAAGAGGAACAAGATGGAACTGACCCAATTTAAAAACTAATTCCAGTTAACTTGAACTTGAGGTTTAGACAATTAGGGCTATTTGTGGAGGTTAGTACAATACCCAGTAATAGGCTTTTCTGTGAAATAGTAAGATCACTCTTTCAGGTATACATTCTAAACACTAAAAAGTTCAGGCAGACATGACAGCAACAAAAATCAGGATACAGTTATAATTAGTATAACTTTTCTGGTAGAAGCAAAACTAACAAAGGTCCCTCAGACATATAATTAAAAGCATTTCCCATCCCATCTACTACAGCAAGAATAAATCTTAGAAGCTTCATAGATACTACACCTTTTTCCTTAGTATTTTCAGGATCTCTGATATTTTCCAGTTCATGGTTGTTTTCAAATTTCAGGTCAGCATATATTATGTCTTCTGTCATAACTCCTAAAAATAAAAGTAAAAAAAATAAGGTAGAAAAATATCTAGCACTTGCAGTTAGTTAGCGGTTTCTTCCAACTGGAGTACAAATGAAGCAGCAGAGATATCAAGATATGTCCGAGCTTCCTCAATCACCATTTAAGGAATTGTTCCTCTTTCACTCTTAGTTATACTCTCTTTCATCGTCTTTGACTCTACCCTCCCTGACTACCATTTATTTCTTTAGGCCATTATTGGATAAAATGCAGTCACTTTTGTAGACTTCTTTTCATTAGAAATCTTCCTATTTTGGATAGACATCATTGAATTTCTGATTATAACGGGTTCAGGCTTGAAACACAGAATTGAATGAAGTGTTTTATGGCTTTGAGGCTGTATTTCAGTTTGGGCAGCAAATTCTTGTGGCTTACTTTTTTTTTTTTTGCCTCTTGCCTTCCATGCCACCTTCCCAAAGTGACTGTTTGGCCTGTGAGCTCTACGTCACCAAACTAGAAGGACCTCTTGGCAAAGGCTACATTTCAGAAGATATTTTCTTCTGCTCAGTTTTCTGGCATGAGTGGTTTATTGCCACTTCTGGAATAATTTTCTTTGTTCTTCACCTCTTCTCCATATCTACAGCATGAGGAAGAACATATACTAACACTCAGATTTTGATGCTGCCTGGTAATGTGAGTCTTCAAGAAAATACATTTCATATCTCTCTTTCACAGAGATGGACACAGCTGTAGAAACTACCTCTCTCTGAGATGAACAAACAATTCTATAGAATAAAAGAAATGAGAGGGAGACGTGTTTGCCCATTGCATGAGGAACTGGGCAGAGAAGTAGGAGAACAGATTATCCAAGGAATTTTAGGCCCCTCTTTATGGTATTTTCTAACATTTCCACAGTTGTGAAACCTTAAATATGTGTGATGAAAACAGAATGTCTGGAGTTTCCTGTACAATTTTTGCAATTTAGCAAACTAACCCTCCCTTGTACTTCCGGATGTACATAACTGAGGCTTAGGTTTTCATTTTCACTTTACTGGGAACATTAACCAAACATTGCTATTTGTGTCAATGCCAAACTCAAATGACTATTCTAAATTAAGAAGGGAAATTTAGATCTTTAAAATATTGGATCAGCCATGTAGATGGAACATAAAAATCAAAGTATTTAACACAAAATATTAAAAGAGAAGCCAAGGTTTCCAGAAACTAAATTCCCTTAAATATCAACCTGACTTTTTTTTTCTTTCTTTTTTTTTCTTCTTTTTCTGGGTGAAATTGTGTTTGGATTTTTTGTTGTGTTTTTTTGTTGGTTCGGGGGGTTTTTTTGTTTCTGGTTTGTTTTTTTTCCCCACTAGTATGCTTATTTAGGGAAGTGTCATTCATAAAACATATTTATTTGTAAACACTTAAAATGATCCATCAACTTTGAGCACCAAAATAATTGTGAACCTTTTGAAATTTCCACTATACATCCTCTCTTAGGCACAAAGTTAAAGGTTTTCAAATTTATAGTATCTTCACTGACTTAAAAGAGGCAAGTCAGCATCTAGCACCTCTGAACACTATAATGTTTTCATGTAGGCATTAAGAAAATCAAGCACCTGCAAATTATATGTTTTTAGTTATTGTTTGTATACTATAATTTAACATTTGACTATTGCTCTAGACAATCAGAAATTGTAATAGTTCAAGAGAAACCATACGTAAGGTCTGAATTGAAGGAAGTAAGATAAGATTCTACAGAAAATCTATATAGTCATCCTGTTTTAGTATGACTACCTGCGAGCTGAGAAATGTTGTCTCTACACTCTTAACTTTCACTCACACAGAGTGAGGAAACTTCTGGCTGTTTGAGGTATTAAAAAAGGCATAAATGTGATAATGTAAACATTTGTTTGATCTAGGCAGCTGATTCCAACAAACTTCTGAACTTAAAGGAAGAAGTCTTTGCTGTTCATTTAGTTGATACATGATTTGTTGTGCTGCATCTCAAAACGCGTTGTGAAGATCTGAAAAGCTACAAAACATTTGCTGATTGACAGTGCTGAAAGTAAACAGGAGGAGGATTTCTTGACTGCATCTAAAACACAGAGTGCTTGCCATTTCTTGTGGAAACAGAGTGCTTCCAAATTTGTTGTTCAAATTTGTTTTCCAATTTATTTCCAATACAGCTCATTCTCCTGGAATCCTTAAGAATGGGAAATATCAAAATGGGGTTATAATCAATGATGCAGGTGGCAAGACCATGTATACGGAAAGTGGTAGACAGAACTTTCTGAATCAGAAAGGACTCAAAAAGAGAAGCAGGGTCCAGGTTAGAAGGGACCTCGACGATCATCTGGTCCACCTTTTCATGGGAGAAGAAACATAGATGATACTATCTAGCACCCTGTCCAATCACATCTTGAAAACATCCAGTGATGGGGATTCTACCTTTTCCCTGGGGAGGTTGTTCCTGTGACTGATTATTCTGACTGTAAAAAAATTTCTTTCTTAACTAGGGTTGAAGGCTCTCCCAATGCAACCTGCACTCATCGCTGCTTGTGAAGAAAAAGCCTCCATCCTCTTTGTAGGTGCCCATAAGTTCTGCAGAGGCAGTAAAATCAGATTCCTCTTCTCCTAGTTTTACTTAATAGCATTCTAGGAGTAGCTGAACCTGAGTGTAGTATTTCCTGTTAATGTGAGTAGGAAATAGGAATATCCCGTGGCTATGAAGATATCATACCAGTTGCATTAGAGGAAGCATCACGAGCAAAGGTAGTGAAATTTTAAGTGCTGGTACATGAAGCAGTAATGACATTATATGCAGAATATTCTACAGTATTATTCCAGTTACCAAACTGGAATAGATGAAGACACAATAAAAGGATGAACTGCCTCCTGTGATTGAGTAATAAAGACTACAGCTTCCCACTGGTTCCTGTCCACCCCATCAAAAGGTAGTTTTATTCCCTTATTTAAAGACAGACTGAATCACAATAGGAGAATGCAACTGATGCATCAAAAGACAAGGAAAAAACCACATATGAATAGCATGACCCATGAAGGAAAGGACTTTTTTCTTTCTTACCAAACTTACTAGCTTGCTGGGGACAATGACCAAGTATACTGTGTCTCTGAGGAGAGAGCAGAGTGGATGTACATGAAGAAATGGGAAGAAAAATCAGCCCTTATAATCAACACTGTATGGATATTGCCAATGAGAGCACACAAGTACCTGAAGCAGAACAGCAAATCCGTCAGAATCTGTGTGATGGAGAAATGGGGAAATTTGATTTTCAGAAAGAAATTGGGAAGAATTCTGTGATACTGATTGGGGAGGATGCTAAGAAACCCTTCCCTCTGCTGCCTCATCAGGTTCCACATGTGATGAACTCTCAGCCCCGGAGCAATGCTGCCTCTTCTAAGAGTGATTCTTTGGGGCTGTGTTTCTGCTTGAAACGCTCTTACACCAACTGCTATGGCTGCGAGCACACGTAGACTGCTGCCCTGAGGTTAAACTAGCCAACCAAGGTGTTCTGTTTTGAGCTAAACAGAAGCAATTCAGTTCAGTGATTTTGCTTTTCAGCTCAGCATCTTCTAAGAAGCTGAACTTTCTGAAGTCAACAGCATGTTTCTGCAGATAGTGCCTGCTGCCAGAAATGATAAAAGCTGATTTTTATAGTTCCTACCAGGGACTGGTATGCAGAAAGGCTCTTGCTTATACTTATTCCTATAGTGACCAAGGCCACTGCTAGATCTTGTGTGCCACATTGAGTGTGCTGGGGAGTAAAGGGGTCACAGGGAAGTAAAGAGGATGAATGGACAGGACAGGGGACTAACAAGAGTACTGCATTCCATATACATCATATTCAGTATAAAACTGAGGGATCATGGGGATTGAGCCCTCCTCTTCAATGGCCAGCATCCGAGGAGGACTCCGTCAGTTCTGCCTTTGATCTCGATCTCAAGTTCCTGAATCCAGCTCCTGTGCCAGTTCCCCGCTGTCACTGAGCCCAGTGCCACCTGCTCTGCAACATCCATGACGATTGCTATCGAGGGAGGAGTTGGGTTCAGTAACGGTTTTGTACATATTTGTATATATTTCATTATTTTCACTATTTCCTTATCAGTACTGTTATTGTTTATTAAAGGTGTTTTACTTTTTCAATCCATAAGTCTCTCTGCCTTATTTTCCTTTCTGTTTGGGAAGGGAGAGGGGTTAGAGAACATCTGTCGCTTTTTGGTGGCCTACACAGCCCTAACCCTTGACATTAGGCATAGGGAACTTCTGGCCATGGCATGAGAAATTGCAAAATGCAGCCATTAACAGTGTGAGAGGCTGACAAAAGTTTCAGACAGAGGCATGAAGAATGGCTGGATTTCTCAGGTGATTAAGGGTCAGTTTATGTGAGAAACCATTGCACTTCACAGATAGTTGGAGGGAGGTATTGGTGGCAAGAATTTTGCAAAGCCAACCATAGTTAGAATATGTGAGTAAGACTATATAGAGCCAAAGGCCTAGATAACAGCATCATAAATCTGAAATTAGATAACAGGTGTAGTAAAACTGGGTCCTAATGTGGGACCTAATCAGAGTAACAGAACAAAGAGAGAGAGGGGAGGGGAAGGGAAGGGAGGGTGGGAGGGTAGAGAGAGTGCAAAGCACTGGGAAAGCCTCTGCTGTGGAAAATAGGAGAGGAGCTGGGTGTCGGAGCTGCTCCGTGAGCTCACCCGCAACAGGCGGAGCCAGTGGGGGTGATGTCAGAAGCAGGGAGGTGAGAAAATCACAGAGAAAGTCCCTTCCTGTTGATCCCCACTACCCAAGGAGAGCTCGTGCTCCTGCTGCCCAGATGAGCAAAGGGCCAGAGCCTGCGCGGGGGAGGGCTCGAGCCTGAGGCTGTCTTCCCAGGGACTCGACAAAAATGGTGTCTGTCCCATTCACAGAGACATGTGGGAACAGGCAGCAAGCAGCACATCTGGAGTGGAGGAGATCTGCACGGTGTCTGAGCCGGAGAGGGAGCCCAAA